GGGAGTTGAAGTCCACGAGTCATAAAAGAGCCAAGGTTGCCTACCCCTGGGCTAAACTAATAAAGTCTACATTAATTAACATTAATTATGCTTTCATATGTTCCTCTAGGTCAGGGGTAGGCAACCTTGGCTCTTTTATGACTCGTGGACTTCAACTCCCAGAATTCCTGAGCCAGCATGGCTCAGCTTGGAAACCTCTCCCTTTCCCCTCAGCGTGGCTGCCTCAGGAATTCTGGGAGTTGAAGTCCACCAGTCATAAAAGAGCCAAGGTTGTCTACTCCTGCTCTAAACTAATAAAGTCTACATTAATTAACATTAATTATGCTTTCATATGTTCCTCTAACTGAGGGGTCTTCAAACTTGGCTCTTTTATGACTCGTGGACTTCAACTCCCAGAATTCCTGAGCCAGCATGGAGGAACTATGGCCCCTTCATGACTTGTGGACTTCAACTCCCAGAATTCCTGAGCCAGCATGGCTCAGCTTGGAAACCTCCCTTTCCCCTCAGCATGGCTGGCTCAGGAGAATTCTGGGAGTTGAAGTCCACGAGTCATAAAAGAGCCACGGTTGCCTACCCCTGACCTAGTTCACATGTAACTGAAACAAGAACGGCTGTCTTTTCTCATAACATCTACCGAGATAGATTCTAATTCCTGAAACTGGGAAAGGTAGCCATTGCGAGTTCACACGACAAACCAAACCATGGTTAAGTTTGTAACTTGGTAAAATGGGGAGATTGGACGGTGGTACGCCAGTCCCTACGTGGAAGTAAACCTTGACTAAAGTGTAACATAAAAGTGGGGGGGGGGGTTTGAAGTAATATTTGCCTTTTGGGACCCACAATGCCGAAACCGTAAGAGATGTGTTCCAACGATCATACAAGCCAAAAACAAACCATCCTGGCTTATCCACATTACATCCACACCAGTCCTCGTAGTTCCCAATTTCGGTGGAATAAGACTTATAAAGTGGGTGGGTGCGTTCTTGCGGTATGGAGACGCATAAAAGGCGTCTCTTTCCGACTTGGCTTCATTGCGCTGAGTTCACCCACAGCAACAATTGTGCAAGCTACACAGCTTAAATCCTTTTCTTTTTAAGGCATCGGCCGAGATCTGCCAGCAATTCACCCAGCGTGAGCAAGGAGAGGTGCGTTTTTCTGCCGTGGCCTTGTGCAAGGCTGCTTGAAGTTTGGCAACGAAAACAGATCCTTGGCCTCTCACCGGATGTAGTTTAAGCCTATAAGGCTTTAGTACTTATGTTGAAAACTTGAGAAAACAACAACAACAACCACAACAACGTGAAAAGCAAGCCAGCTGTTCTTAGTTTCGAATTTAAGGTGTAACGCAGCTTCGGTGGCCCCTGTCCCAAAGACGAAAATTCACGCAAAAGTGTCAGACGTTGTTGAGACTCCCTTAACTGTTGTGTGTGTATGTGTGTATAAATGCTTTATAGGCTTTTGTGATTTCCCAGGTTCCTTTCAAGTGGCTGTGACTGTCCATCACAACAATAAATCCCTTCTTGCTATTCCGGAAAACTGTCCTTTTGTGTTGTTCTGCTAAAACTCCCTATGATGTCAGCGGCATTTGTTACAATCCAACTTTTCCCCCCCCAGTTTGCGTTTTGTGGCCCACTGGTGGTCTGTGTGGCTACGGTGAATTGTCCACTTGGGGAAGGGGCTCAAATTGTCCACTGGGAGAGGGATCTCCCCAGTTTCATGAAGCTTCTCTGAAATCTCAAAAAGATTCCTTGCCTGGAAAAATGTACGATTTGGTTATGCAAAATATTCATGTAGAGAAAGTGGTACGCAACCGTTGCGGCTTGGCGGGCCCGACCGGGACCAGGGGAGCAAGGAACTAGACCGTGTGAGTGGCGGGCCAGCACACACGTGTGCAGTTAGACTTGCGCAAGGGGCGGGCTGGTGAGCATGCATATGAGTGCCCCCCCACCCAGCCTGCTATTCACACAAGTTGAGTTGCGTGCACGCACTCCGGCCAACCGCTTGCATGGGCCAATTCTGAATAGGCTGCAGCCCTTTAATGGTCCACAGCACAGGGGTTGGAGACCCTTGATATAGAGCAGGGGTAGGGAACCTTGGCTCTTTTATAACTTGTGGACTTCAATACCCAGAATTCCTGAACCAGCCATGCTGGCTCAGGAATTCTGGGAGTTGAAGTCCACAAGTCATAAAAAGAGTCAAGGTTGCCTACCCCTGGTATAGAGTATTATGGAGGCTCTCAAATAATATGGTATAAGCTCTAGCGTAGGGGTCTTCAAACTTGGCCCTTTTATGACTTGTGGACTTCAACTCCCAGAATTCCTCAGCCAGGCAAGCTGGCTGAGGAATTCTGGGAGTTGAAGTCCACAAGTCATAAAAGGGCCAAGTTTGAAGACCCCTGCTGTAGTGCCTCTGGGCAATATCTGGAACAATATGGTGGTCCACATAAGCAGATGAATTGGGTATGTCTTGTTTAATGAAGAGAAGGACGAGGGGGGGGGGACCATGATAGCAGTCTTCCAGTATCTGAGGGGCTGCCCCAAAGAAGAGGGAGTCAAGCTATTCTCCAAAGCCGCTGAAGGCAGGACAAGAAGCAACGGATGGAAACTCATCAAGGAGAGAAGCAACCTGGAATTAAGGAGAAATTTCCTGAGAGTCAGGACAATTAACCAGTGGAACGACTTGCCACGAGAAGTTGGGAATGCTCCAACAGTGGAAGTTTTTAAGAAGAGCTTAAGACAACCATTGGTCTGAAATGGCATAGGCTTTCCTGCCTGAGCAGGGGGCTGGACTAGAAGATTTCTTTTTCTCTCTCTTCTCTCTCCATGTGTGTATGTGTTTCATAACAAAATTAATGTCCACCTTCAAACTCCGTGGCGGTTTTACGATGTACAACAACTTGGTAAATTATTAACAGCTGGAAGTTCATTCTTGGATCAGGCAGTTCACCAGTAGCTCTGAGTCTACCTAGCTCAGGGGTAGGCCACCTTGGCTCTTTTATGACTGGTGGACTTCAACTCCCAGAATTCCTGAGCAGCTTGTCTCACCATGGAAACCTTTCCCTTTCCCCTCAGCGTGGCTGGCTCAGGAATTCTGGGAGTTGAAGTCCAGGAGTCATAAAAGAGCCAAGTTTGAAGACCCCTCACTTAGAGGAACATATGAAAGCATAATTAATGTTAATTAATGTAGACTTATTAGTTTAGAGCAGGGGTAGGCAATCTTGGCTCTTTTATGACTCGTGGACTTCAACTCCCAGAATTCCTGAGCCAGCCTGGCTCAGCATGGAAACCTCTCCCTTTCCCCTCAGCGTGGCTGGCTCAGGAATTCTGGGAGTTGAAGTCTAGGAGTCATAAAAGGGCCCAGTTTGAAGACCCCTCACTTAGAGGAACATATGAAAGCATAATTAATGTTAATGAACGTAGACTTTTATTAGTTTAGAGCAGGGGTAGGCAACCTTGGCTCTTTTATGACTGGTGGACTTCAACTCCCAGAATTCCTGAGCCAGCCATGCTGAGGGGAAAGGGAGAGGTTTCCAAGCTGAGCCATGCTGGCCCAGGAATTCTGGGAGTTGAAGTCCAGGAGTCATCAAAGAGCCAAGGTTGCCTACCCCTGACCTAGCTAATTGGCAGTACCTGCCCAGTCTTGATGATCTTGAGGAGCTAAGCCTGGACAGGACTTGGTTATTACTTAGATGGAAGACAAAAGCCCTGAACATTGGAAAACTTTGTGGAAAAAGGCAACAACAAACCATGTTTTGTATTGCTGCCGAAGAAACCCAACATGGATGCATCTGAAGTCACCAGCAGCTCAGCTGGACTTGACACTTACATCAATTTGTTGCTTAGCAATATATAAATAGGGATGGAGATAACCCTATCAAAGATGGCTTGTCCAATATACTAGAAATATACTTATTTTTTTTAAAAAAAATAAGTCCAGTTCTACCAGGTTAATAATACCCGTCCCTGTACGTTATACTGGCCTTTGTAAAACCGTTATCTAGAGTTACCTTGGTAAGTTACATAAAAGTTTCAATTAATATGACCCTCCACTGGACATCAACATAATAGATTCCTTGGCTTTTTATCAGCTGGATAAAGTAATTGGTTGATCGTTCCCTGAGTCCTTGAGGTAAATTTCCAGGAAGCCGTCTTCAAAATGATTTCCAACAAGCATATTAACTTACATCACCTGTCACCGGATTTGACATTGACGTGGGAGGCAGCCCCTTGTGCAATTTTTCACCACACTGAAATCTGGAGGTGGAAAATGCCATTTACTTAGCTTTTTTTTTCAATACTTGTTTTTCCTCACTAGATGGCAGACGTGAAATGTTTTTTCAGAACCTTCCCAATCCGCACAGAATAACAAAGAGTCGGAAGGGACCTGGGAGGTCTTCTAGTCCAACCCCTTGCTCGGGCAGGAAACCCTGTACCAGAGGTCCCCAACCTTTTGGGCACCAGGGACCGGTTCCGTGGAGAGAGGGTGTGTGGTTTTGTGTGTTGCCTGCATCCCGCGGATGGGGCTTTGCTTGTTTGTGTGGACCGGTTGCTGGCATGCTGCGGCCCGGTACCGGTCCACGGACCGGGGGGTTGGGGACCCCAGCCCTATACCATTCCAGACAAATTGTCCGCTTTTTTCTTAAAAACTTTCAATGTTGGAGCACCCACAACTTCTGGAGGCAGGTTGTTCCACTGGTGAATTGTTCTGTCAGGAAAATTCTCCTTAGTTCCAGGTTGCTTCTCTCCTTGATTAGATTAGACTAGACTGCTTTTACTTAGGCAGGCTTTTGTCGTTTTGTGTGCTAGTGTGAGTCCATGTGGTTGTAAGATTCTGTCGGTGGTTTTTGAGATGTTCTTGAGGTATGGCAGTCTGATTCTTCATAGGGCTGACTTTGGAAAGGAGTCTGGTTTCACTAGAAGTTGTTATTTTGTGTGAAAGTATTACTTGGTGGCAAGTGGAAGCAAAACCCACAGAAATAGGAACGAAGCACCGTGAAGAAATAGTTGAAGAAATAGTTGAATTGGTGGCTGACTTCAGGCAGTCCTCGACTGAGGGACACAATTGAGGCCAAAGGTATTGTTGCTAAGCGAGTCCGTCCCTAAGTGAATTTTGCCTCCATTTTACGACCTTTCCTGCTGCAGCTGTTAAGCGAATCGCTCTAGTTGTTATAAATTAGTATCTATATCTCTCTATTTTTTTTTCTCTCTCTCTCTCTATCTCTCTATGTATTGATCTCTCTATCTCTCTATTTACCTTTCTATCTCTCTCTATATCTATCTATCTATCTATCTATCTATCTATCTATCTATCTATCTATCTATCTATCTATCTATCTATCTATCTATCTATCTACTTCTATCTACCTCTCTCTCTCTCTCTCTCTCTCTCTATGTATGTATGTATGTATGTATGTATGTATCTATGTATCTATGTATCTATGTATGTATCTATCTATCTATCTATCTATCTATCTATCTATCTATCTATCTATCTATCTATCTCTATCTACCTCTCTCTCTCCATCTCTCTCTCTCCCTCTCTCTCTCTCTATCTCTATCTCTCTATCTACCTATCTCTCTATCTCTCTATCTCTCTATCTACCTCTATCTCTCTATCTATCTCTCTCCCTCTCTCTCTACCTCTCTCTCTATCTACCTATCTACCTATCTATCTATCTACCTACCTACCTACCTACCTACCTACCTACCTACCTACCTATCTATCTATCTATCTATCTATCTATCTATCTATCTATCTATCTATCTATCTATCTATCTATCTATCTATCTATCATCGAGATAGAGATAGAGATATATTTCCCTAATCTTAATTCCACTACTCAGTGTATATGGATCATACTTAATCTTCATTCTCTGCTCTGGATCCATTGCTTCAAGCTGTGCGTGTGTGTTTTTTGCTAAAACCTTTTGCTGCTTCTGCCGAATCACCCCAATGGATTTATATTTATTTGTTTGTATCCCGCTTTTATTATTTTTTTACAAATAGAACTCCAGGCGACAAACATATCTAACACTTCTTCCTCCTCCTCCTCCTCCTCCTCCTCCTCCAGGTTGAACAAACCTCTCACTTAGGGAAATAAATTTTGGGCTCAGCTGTGGGCAGTAAGTCAAGGACCACCCGTGACAGCGTTGGGAGGGACCTCGGAGGTCATCCAGTCCAACTCCCCGCACAAGCAGGAGAGAGCCTCCCTAAAGCCACCCTATTCCATAAACCATAATCTCTATCCTAAAACCCCGGTTTGTGACGGGAGGCGTTGGGAAAGGAGGCAGCTTCCGAGCTACTCAAAGGAAGGAAATTCTTGGAACAGTGTGAAACCGGCAGAGGCGGTTTCAAGGAAGCCCTGCTAGACTTTTTGGATGGGTTCCAGTTGAGTTCAAAACAGGAATAACCATGTTTGTTGTCGGTCTTTGAACAAGGCACTGTGGAGGATCCTTGGATGCCGGTTTATAAGGAGACCCAGGTTTATTGTGTCTGCTGTGGGTGGACAAAGCCGGTCTGAGCAGCTGACGGATCGG